GCCTGGCCAACATAGTGAAACCCCATCTCTACTAAAACTACAAAAATTAGCTGGGTGTGGTGTCATGCACCTGTAATCTCAGCTACTCAGAGAGCTAAGACAGGAGAATCGCTTGAACCTGAGAGGTGGAGGTTGCAGTGAGCCGAGATCACGCCATTGCACTCCAGCCTGGGTGACAGAGCTAAACTCTGTCTCAAATAAATAAATAAATAAATAAATAAATAAATAAATAAATAAATAAATAAAGCAAGCAAGCAATAATAAAAAATGTAAACAGAATTTGGTACACACTCCAAAAAGCAACGAAGAGAGTGGATCAAAAACTCACTTGCCGAGTTCTCCTGGGCTAGGGAGGCCTGTGCGTGTCTTCTCGCAGCCCCCCACCCCGTGCCAGGAAACCCTTTCTGTGAGTGACAGGAGAGCTTGGGGCATAGTAAGGCACGGATTCACCTCTCCCTCTCCCTCTGGGGCCCAGCAGCCACCAGCCCTGTCCCCACCCATCAGAGCCACTCCTCGGCCACCAGAGGGCACTCAGACCCTGCAAACCAGCCTGGCTCTGGGTGGCCAGCTGAGGAGGGGGGAGTCTCCTCTCCCAGGTGCCTGCCTGCCCCCACTTCTACCCCCACAATCCCAGGAGGCCCACCTTCCTGCACCTGCGCCCGGTCCTGCCTGGGCCTCAGTTCCCCATCCGTGCCCAGACGCGCTGTGGCCCTGACCTCATGGGTAGCTCCATGCCCCTCTGGCGGGAGGCGCCTGCCATATTCACGTTGTCACCCCGGCACCCTCTCCTCCCACCTCTGGGATCTAGGGCTCCCTCCCCCACCTCCCTTTTTGCAGATGAGGAAACTGAGGCTCCCCTGGGCTCCTGCCCTTCCCACTGGGCCCCAGGGCACTGACTGGGTCTCTTCCCCTCCCGGTCTGTGCAGGGCAGCAGCAGTGATGACACGGAGCTGCGGTACTCGTCCCAGTACGAGGAGCGCCTGGACCCCTTTTCCTCCTTCAGCAAGCGGGTTCGTGAGCCCAGCCTGGGCAGGGGAGGGAAGGGGCATCAGCCCAGGGAAGTCCAGGGATCCCCCCATCACCTGGCCCCCATCCCTGAGCACTCGGCCTTCCCTGGCCCCCCTCCAGCTGCCCTCGTCTGGGTGCTCTCGGCCAGCCTGGCCACACCAGCGCTGCACACCCTGGCCCCTCAGGCCAGGAGTCCCCCCAGACAGCCTCCCCACCGCTTCGGTGCAGTGTGGGCCCAGCGCCCATTCAGGAACACCTGCCGATGGCTACCTGAGGGTGTGTGGCAGTGGCTGGGTTAACCTGTAGTGTATTTGGGGGACAGGCAGACAATGAAGAGCCAGTTACAGCTCCCAGCGATCCATGGTGGTGACCCCACCCTACAACTCCCCTCCCTCACCCAGACTGCAGAAGCTCTGCCCGTGGAAAACTTTCCCGTGGGCAGAATGGGCGGCTGCAGAGGCGGGGAGGGGTTCTCACAGATGTCAGGGGAGTCCAGAATGTCACACTGAGTCGACTGCACCCAGGGAAGCCCCTGGCAGCACCCCGGCAGCCCCCTGGAGGTCTGCAAGAACAGCGAGACAGGGTGACCTGTGGCTGGCCAGGCCCCGCTCTCTGCCACAAGCCAGGGTCTGTGAGGTCCTTTGGGGTCCTTTCCTGATTGTCCCTCCCTGTACAGGAGCGGCAGAGGAAGTACCTGAGCCTGAGTCCCTGGGACAAGGCCACCCTCAGCATGGTGAGTCCCTGCGCCTACCCGCCCCCTCCCCGGACAGGCCTGAGCCTCTGTCTCCAGCCACCTCTTCACCTGCCCTGCAGCCCAGGCTGGAGGAGCCGCCTGCCCTGCCAAGAGTGGCTGTGTGATCTGGGACAGGGTCTCTCCCCTTCCCAGGCAGATCCTCTGAGAGCATGGTTCATAGCAGTAGGTTCTGAACTGGGCTGCAGGGGGGCCATTCCTCAGAATTCCTGCAGCCTAGAGTCAGGCCTGGTGGCCCACACCTGTCATCCCAGCACTTTAGGAGGCGGGAGGATTGCTTGAGCCCAGGAGTTCGAGACCAGCCTGGGCAACACAGTAAGACCCTGTCTCTACAAAAACTAAAATTAGCCAGGCGCGATGGTGTGCTGTAGTCCCAGCGAGTCCCTGTAGTCCCAGCTACTCAGGAGGCCGATGGATGAGGATCACTTGAACCTAGAAAGTCAAGGCTGCAGTGAGCTATGACCACTACATTCCAGCCTGGGCAACCTTGTCTCAAAAACATTTTTGTTAAAGAATTCCAGTTGCCGGGCACGGTGGCTCACGCCTGTAATCCCAGCACTTTGGAAGGCCGAGGCGGGCGGATCACCTGAGGTCTGGAGTTCGAGACCAGCCTGGCCAACATGGTGAAACCCCATCTCTAGTAAAAATACAAAAAATTAGCCGGGCATGGTGGCAGCGCCTGTAGTCCCAGCTACTTGGAGGCTGAGGCAGGAGAATGGTGTGAACCCGGGAGGCGGAGCTTGCAGTGAGCCAAGATCGTACCACTGCGTTCCAACCTGGGCGACAGAGTGAGACTCCGTCTCAGGAAAAAAAAAAAAAAAATGAATTACAGCAGCCCTTGTCTCTCACCCATAATGGTAGAATGGGAGACCCAGCTTCCTGCCCCTTCCTTCCCCTTGCCACCCTAAGGCCCTTTCTGTGAAGCCCAGGTAGCCCTGCAGGGGTGGGTGAGGCCGGCCCCATCCCCACTCACCCTTTCCTTCTTCCCAGGGGCGTCTGGTTCTCTCCAACAAGATGGCGCGCACCATCAGCTTCTTCTACACACTGTTCCTGCACTGCCTGGTCTTCCTGGTGAGTGTTCACACGGGCAGGCCAGGGGCACCTTCACCACCCCTACCCCTGACCTCCAGGGCAGCACGGGCCTGTTACGGTGGCCTGGCCCCTGGACCTACCCCGAGCTGCATCCCCAGCTGGAGGCCACGCCTCTCCCCTTCAAGAGCCTTGGCCCACCCCAGGGACGAGAAGGACCCACCCCACTAGGACCTCTGGCCAGGGCACCAGCCGGGCCGCTCCGTGAAAGAGGCCTGGCTGATCGCATCTGGGACTGGTCCTGGAGGGGCTTCGTAGGAAGAAGGGATGGAGTGGGAAGGGAGCAGGTCTAATGAACTCCACCAAGGGACAGTCATGAAGGCTGCACAGGGAAGGGGCATCTTGAACTGACCTCCTCAGCTGCAGAGGGGTGTTCTAGTTAGCGGATAAGGGCCTCCATGTCTGCCAAGTTGGGGGAGAAGAGAGGTGGAAGGCTGTGTCTCTGGAAGGATCCAGCCTTGGGGACTCCTGTCCCCAGCACAGTCAAGATGGCCTCTACAGGGCTAACCTGGGCTCCAGCTCTGACCCCAGGGCCCAGTGGGTCCTGGCCCTTCCAGGGGTTGTCACACAATATTCGGGGAGGTGCCTCCGTGTCTGGGCCCATCTGACCATCTGCAGAAACAGCAGGTGCAGGAGCATGTCTAAGGCCCACCCGCCCCGGAGCCTGGGGCTCGAGAACCTTTATGTCCCAGGCCAGGCCCAGGGGCCATGGGTGGGCTGCAGGGGTGGCCTTGAGGCGAACGGGCAGCTCACCGTGTCTCCATCTGGCCAGGTGCTCTACAAGTTGGCATGGAGCGAGAGCGTGGAGAGGGACTGTGCCACCTTCTGCGCCAAGAAGTGAGGACCCCCACTTGGGCCCCCATTCAGCCCTACAACCAGCTCCCAGAACCCCCTGCAACACCCCTGAGTTCCTGCCTCATGTCCCCCACTCCTTAGCCCTCCATCACCGCCCCCATTCTGGCCCTCCCCCTACCCCCACTCCCAGTGCCCACGACCCCCCAGCCCCACCCCATCACACGATACACATCCCCCTTTCCCAACACACACACTCGGCCTCAACAAACCTTCCCGTGTCCCCCAGGTTCGCCGACCACCTGCACAAGTTCCACGAGAATGACAACGGGGCGGCGGCTGGTGACTTGTGGCAGTGACACCCCGGCGCCTGCCCCGTGACAGTGACAGCTGCACCTCCACCCCTGACTGCTCAGTGCATCTAATCACTTAGTCTCCCTCAAAGAATCCCTCATGGAAACTGCTCTTATCCGCTGTCCAGCAGCTGCCAGAGGCCCCAGGTCTCCTTGGGTCCCCTTGAAAGAATGTCTCGGTCACATCAGGCTCGCTAGGTCCAGAGAGCCAGCCCCCAATGCTCGGCCAGGCTAAGCCGCAGAGACCCTCTCAGCCCCCACCTCAGGCTAGGGCTCTGCCCGCAGCCTGACCTCTAGCCCTGGTGGCAGAGGTCCCTCAGCTGCGAGACTGATTGGGTGACTACCAATTCCAGCTGTGGTTAATCCAGCTTGGACCTGTCTGCACTGTGATCCTCTTGGGCTCCCCTAGGATCTCCCCATGCCCCGTAAGAGGTGGAAGGCACTTCCTTCCAGGACAGCAGGCTTCGAGTCCAGTACCCCCAGCCTGCCTTTGCCACCAGCCCCACCCCGCAGACTATATGAGGTTTGACAGAGTCTGCCCCCTCCCCCACTGCACCCCGAGAGAGAGCCCCAGTCAGCGGAACAGTTTCTATTACCCCCTCCCTGCCCCCAGACCCATGTGATTTCTGCTTTCTTCTTTAGCAAGATATTCTGGTTTCTAGGTAAGGAAGAGTCTCTAATGAGCCCGCGAGCCTCAGTCTCTTCAGACTCATGGACTGGTCTGAGGGGTCCAAGCATGTCCTAGCCAATCAGAACTGGCTGTGGACCACCCTAGCACGGCCACTTCTCAGGGCCACTGGCAGGCCTTCCTAAGTTAGATTTGTAGTTGCATATTTAGCTTTGCACATTTGAAATAAACCACGGTTGCAGCCACCCTGGTGCCGTGTGCTCTGGGACGCTGGAGGGACAGGAGGCTGGTGGGGACGCCTGCAGTGCCAACCCCTGGGAGCTGGGGCTGGCCTCACAGCTGGGCACACAGAACATTCCTCCACCTCTTCTCATCTCCAGGAATTCCATGAGCACATTCAGAGCTCTGCTGAAACCCAGATCCAGTGTCCGCCAAGTGCTTTTGAGCGGACAAGCAGCACCATCAAAAAGGGAAACCCATTCCTTTATTCAAAAACCACCCGGGGCCAGGCACAGTCGCTTACACCTGTAATCCCAGCACTTTGGGAGGCCGAGGCAGGTGGATCACTTGAGGTCAAGAGTTCGTAACCAGCCTGACCAACATGGTGAAACCCCGTCTCTACTAAAAATACAAAACTTAGCTGGGCGGGCATGGTGGCGCATGCCTGTAATCCCAGCTACTCAGGAGGGTGAGGCAGGAGAATCGTTTGAACCGGGGAGGCGGAGGTTGCAGTGAGCCGAGATCGCGCCAGTGCACTCCAGCCTGAGGACGGAGTGAGACTCCATCTCAAAAAAAACAAACAAACAAACAAAAAAAAACCACCTTTCAGGCTGTGGCTGGGTGTATGACGTGTCTTGGTCCACATCAGTTCCTGGGGAATCTCTGCTTCCCTTTCTGTGCTCCCCTTTCCCATGGGCCCTCACCTGCCAGGGGCTGCAGAGCACGTACCTGCCAATCTCCCGAGCACCAGCCTTGCATGGGAGCCCCCCTGAGCCACAGGTTCTGGGCCACCTCACCTCCAGCCCAGCCCCAGATGGAGGAATGCATTCTCTGGGTCTGGAGTGGGTGCATTAACCCATTGTCCAGGTGGCCCATGAGACTGGTGGCAAACCCAGGTCCCCCACTGCAGCCCACCAGGCCAGGGTCCCCTGGGCTACCTCTGTCTCCATTTTAGTTCTGACCAGTCTAAAGCATGTGTATCCAGGGGCCTTTCTTTGGGGTCCCAGCACCCCTCATCATCTCCCCCATCAGGACTTCTAAGCCCCCCGAGCCTCCTGCCCTCAGGGACCCAGGATGGGTCCTTTCCTCCCTGACCCTCATTCCTATCCCCAGCGAGGTGACAGCTGCTCTTGGCCAACCACGCCCCCTCCACCCCCACAGCTACTTCCACATCTCCATCAGTTCCTCCTTGTGGGTCTGAGGCGCTCTGCCGCCGGCCCCTCCCCACTTCCTCCTCCCTGGGGATGGATCCGAGCTATTGTCCTGCCCATGGCTTCCCATCTCAGGACGCTCTCTGGCCACTGTCATCCCAGCAGTGGAGTTCAGCCCACTACTCTGAACCAGGTTAGTCCACCGCGGGTCAGGCTCTCTGCTCTCCCAGGAGGGTGGAGACCACAACCAGGCCATGTATGGAGCCTCCCTCTCTCCTGCTCTCCGGCACCCCCTCCTCCCCCTTCCCAGCCTCATTCATAGGTGTCCTGGTTCCCAGCCAGGCCTCCAGGCCTGTGTGCAACTCCAATCGAGGGCTGGCCCACTGCCGAAGCTTTCATTAAAGTGTCTGCTGGCCTGGTCCTGCGAAGGGAACAGAGCCAAGATGTGGCGCAGGGAAGGGGCCTGCTTGGCTTCCATGCCCCCGTGGAGGGCAGCACCGGGGTTTTGGGCAGCAGGTGAGGGCTCTGTCCCCTCCACCTTCACCTCTGGAAGCCCCACCTTTCCATCCCTAAGAAGGGGATAAAAATCCTTGTCTGTCCAGCCTCCTGGAAAATTAGAGATGGGAAATGGCTCTGGGAAAGGTCAGAGGTCAGTTTGGGCCCGGGAGGGTGACAGACGGAGGCAGCTCCAGCTGGCAAGGAGACCAGGGCAGAACCGCCAGAGGTGGGGGCAGGGGACAGGGAGGGAGATGAGGGGAGAAGACACGCAGGGGTCCCCCACTGCTATCTCCAGCAGCAAGATCTACTCTCATCTCTGAGGGGCCCTTTCCACACCTCTGCCCCCACTGAAGCCCTCCCTCCCCTCTCGGACCTCTTCCAGTCCCGCTGAGCCCCCTACACCTCTTTCAGGAAGCCTCCCAGAGCCCCCCCACCAGCGGTCTGGCCACCTGACCCCTCAGCACCAGGGGTCAGGCCACAAGTGCCCCGCAAAGCCCAGCGGGACTGTTTCTTAGCCCGACTGGTCTCTGCCCTAACGCAGGCGAGTTCTGGAGCCAGGAAGGGGTGAGCAAGGTGCCAGGGCTGCGGCCCCTCATCGCCCCTCTATGATCTCTGACACCTCTCCGGGTGGCATCAGGCCCCCATCACAGCGAAGGCTGGGTGGTGGGGGCACAGCGCTCTGGGGGCCGTCCCGCGCTGTGTCCCGGGGGCGATTTCCCGCACCGGAGGGCTGGAGGGAGGGGGCGTGGTGGCGCCCTCGGGATTTATGAGAACCAGACGTCGACTTCCCCCGTTGCGACATCCAGGCCTCCTCCAGGCTCCCATTGTCCCCGCTGCGGAGGGTCTGGCCACAGCGGCGGCTCCCGCGAAGCACCCGTCACCGAGGGACGCTTCGAGGGCTTCCGCGCCCCATACAGCCGCCACGCAGGACACTCCCCCGGCCCCACGAGCCGCGCTCCCGCGGTTACCACCACCCCGGGCTCGAGAGGTCGCTTCCGCGAGAAGGAGGGGGAGTCCCGTGCCTGGCCTGGGACCGGCTCTGCGAAAAGAGGACCCCGGTCCAGATGGGGCAACTCGGAGCCGGCCCCTAACCCCTCTCTCCGGGCCCCAGGGCCGGGCGGTCTCGGCAACGCAGCTGCGGGCAGCCAGCAAGCACCGGCCCCCGGCGCAGCTCGGGCTCCGCGGAGGGCTGGGGGCGTGGCGGGGGCGGGGCCTGAGCCGCGCAAGGAGGGGCTGGAGGGGACTGATCCAGAAGGCGTGAGGGGGCGGGCGGGGCGGGGCTCGCGGTGGGGGCGGGGGCGGGGCTCGCGGCGGGGGCGGGGCCGGGAGGCGCGCGCCTTGCGGGCGGGGGGCGCGCCGCGCGGGGCTGGGCTCGGAGCGCGCGGAGCTCGGCTGCCGGAGAGCCGCGCGGGGAACGCGCCGGTACCGCGAGGAGCGCACGAGCCTTAGAGACGGTGAACCAGGGAGGGAGCAGCCGCCACCGTCGCCAGCTCCCTCCCGGAGGGAGCCCAGTCCGCCGCGGGCCATGAGCCACCGGGCCCGGGGAGCCCGGCCGCGGTACGGGCAGCGCTCAGCCGGCGCCCCAGCCCGCTCGGCCGCAGCTGCGCGCCTGTAGGTATGGCCTCCTTGTACACAGTTCCTCGCTCCCTGGTCCTTCCCCCGGGACCCCTGTCTGTCCCCCGGGACGTGCGCTGTGTGAGCACCGCTGCCCCGCGGAGAGCGGCCGCACGCGCCTCGGTCCGCGCGTGTCGTCTTTGTGTGCGCGGGTGGGAGGGAGGAGGGCGCGCGAGGGAGGGGACGCGCCCCCGGCTGGGATCGGCTCTCGGATCCCCATCCCGGGCGGGGCGGGGAGCCGCTGGAGGGGCCGAGCCGCCTCTGGAGCAGCTGCGCCCCCGCCCCCTGCTAGGGCCCCGGCCGAGTGGTAGGGCGAGAGGAGCCGGGCCCCTAGAGGAGGGGTCTCTGGTTGGGGGAGGGGGCGCCCAGGTTTCTTCCCTACGCTGGGAGCGCTGGGAGGGGGCGTCAACCTAGAATGAGGGTGAGGGCCACGGGGTGGGATCGGGAAGAACCTCCTCCAGGCCACAGTCTCCGGGCAGACACGCCCTCCCTTTGGCCCAGGCACCCCTTTCTCGACCCGCCCACCCGGGCAGCTCCCCGGAGCCCCCGATTGCGGGGAGGATCGTGGAGGGTGCCCAAGAGGTCGGCTCCTTTAAGAAGGGGCGGATTCGTGCCCTCCATTCAGGCCCTTGGGCCTCTGCCATTGATGAACCTGCGGGCAGCGCCGACCGGAACCGCGCCAGCCCAGCGGGCTGAGGCCGGGCAGAGGCAGGGACGCTTCCCGGCCCCCTGCAGCCCCGAAGTGGGGGCCTTCAGGGAAGGAAGTCTGCAGTGACTGGGGCCTCTCAGGAGCCATGCAAGGCAAACTGGGCAGCCTCAGCCGAGACCCTGAACAGCAATAAGCCAGGATCTACGTGCACTTCCAGCTGGTGCAAGGGAGAGCCTCAGGCTAGGCTGTCAGACCTGGGTGGAGCCCTACCAATGCCCTCGAGCCAACATCACCTACCCTGTAAAATGGGACGGTGCTGCCTGCCTCCTAGCTACGGACCCGGCAACTCCCGGCAGGAGTTGCGTCCCAGAGGCAGGTCCCCGGAGCTCCTCTGGGAGGACTGCGGGCAGGGGGTGTGGTTTCCCCAAGAGGCTTCGACTGCCTCTTGAGCCGAAGCCCCCCTACTCTGTCCCACCTTGAACTCTCCCAACCTCTTCCCTTCTGACCTCCCCGCTCCACGCAGGAAGAGGTTGGGAGAGTGACCTAGAACTTTTCAGTTCCAGGAACTTTGGGAGAGGTCTGGCGGTGGCGGTGGTGGCACTGCTTCTAGGCTAGTGTGGATCAGGGCGTTTTGGGGGGTCTCAGAGACAGTTTCCCACCAGCCACTTCCTTAGAAGTCTGTCCTACCAGCATCGGAGAACAGCCCCACCCCGCGCCGGGCCGGCTTCTGATGCTGCTTGGTTTAATGCTTCTAGGTAATCAAGGGTTAATGCACATGCTTTTCTTTTTATCCTTGTTGTGAAAAATCTGTCTAAAGTGTCTAAATCCCTCTTCCCTACTTAGCATGGATCTCCTAGGGAGGACTTCTGTGCAAATACAGAGGGGTGGGCTCCCTTGGGGGTCTTGGAAGTGGGATCTCCACCCAAGTGATCCTGGGCCTCCCAGGGCTGAGCTTTTGGTTTCAAACTTACTCGTGCCAAGCTAAGGGCATCAGGGTCGCTGTTCGTGTCATCTTTACAACAACCCTGTGGGTTTAGTGCTATTATTTTCCCCGCACAGGGAGGGGAAGTGACTGGCCCAAAGTCCTGCAGTCAACCAGTCAGGCCTCCCAACCACTCCTCTCTGAGAAGAGCCTGGCACTTCTTGCCCTGTCTACCCAGCCTGGGTTGCAAGGAATTGGGGGTTTAGGGGCTTAGGCCTCCTGGCTGCTGTCTCCCTGGGGCTAGGGTCCAGTCTTGAGGCCTGCGCTCATTCTTACTCTCCAGGTGAGGTCAGGGGACTGGTCAGAACCCGGGGCCTGGAGAGGTTTCTCTTTCTGGCTCACCTGGTTGGGTGCTGTTTTATGGCTATGCTCTGTCTAGGGGGATAGCAGGTGTGACCCCTCAACACGAGGTCACAGCCCACACCTGTTTGGGCAGAGCAAGGCAGGGCATCGCTGTGTGGGTGTGCAACATCTTTTGGTTCCTCTGGGTGACGCAGGGTTTGGGCCCCATTCTCCACATACTTCCGGCCCATCTGAGGGTAGCGCCCACCTGGGGGTGGGGAGGACAGCCAGCCAGGAGCTCACGGTCTGGTGGAAGAGACAGGCTACAGCCATGTGGTGTGGTGGAGGGGCAGGGGGCAAGGGTGGAGGTGGGGACAGGATCAGGGGGTGTTCCCAAGGCCTCTGTGGGCTTGGGGGCTTACCTGCTATTGGGGCAGAACAGGGGAAGTAGGCAGTGCCTGGCTGGGTGCTGAGGCTCTATGCAGAGGACAAGCAGGAGTTGGAGGAAGAGGATGTATTCGAACTTGGAGGTGGTGAGTTTGAGGTACCTGGAGATCAGCCAGGCTGGGAGTTGAGCTCAGAGAAAGGCCCGGGGAAGCTTTATTAGCACCTGTAGTCCCCAGAATTTGGGGATGCTCAGATCTTAGGGGTGCCACCAGAGGTCTCAGGAGGCACTGGTATGTGTGTCCTGGAAAAGCCAGAAGGCAGCTGGGTGGGATGAATTGGGGGAGGTACTAAGGGGATATCCTGCAGGTTTAGGGGGCTGGGCCAGGGCCCATGTGAGGCTTATGACGCTGGGGGAGTGGAAGGGACTGAGTGTCTCAGGCCAAGGCTGGAGATGGGGGGGACCTCTGCTCTGCAACCCCAGAAAGGCAGGGTGGGTTGGGAGTAACCAGGGCCAGTGCAGGTGGAACCAGCCCAGCCTGCCCTCCACCTGCAGAGCCCATCCAGGAACTGTCCAGCACTGGGTGCTCCTGAAGGAGGCTGAGTCTGCCTCTTGAGTCCCCAAGCCCTGGCTTAGCTTGTTGTCCTGACCCCCACTTCCTGCAGAACCCAGCTGTGGATGCCCCTGGCCCTCCAACCCGGCCACTCAGAGTGCCCTATCCCCTAACGGTGGTCATTTCCTTTCCGGAAACAGGGACTCGGTCTTCCCACTGTGCCCCTGGAA